GCCCGGAGCAGGCCGGTGGGGCTGGGGCAGTCCCCGCGGCCACGGTCAGCTGCTCCTGCTTGGGGCCTCGTGTCTGGCCTGACCCGGGCGGCAGCCAGAGCGGCAGGACCAGCCCCCCCCACCCCCCAGCGGCTAGCGCAGAGCCCTGGGCCTGCGCCTCACTGACCGCAGAGGGTAGCCGATGACCTCCTCTCGGGGTGGCCCCAATTTGGGGCGTTGAGAACAAGAGACATCTGTGCACGTGGTGCCAAGGGGCTGCGGGTCCCCAGCTATGGTCGGGGCAAATGGCCTGCACTGACCGGGCCTCACCCTCGGTCCCCACATACGCCCCAAGGCCCAGGCTCAACGCCTAGAAGGGGCCGGGCTGAGCTTGGGCGGTCAGAGGGCTGCTGGACTCGTGGCTGACAGACTGGCCAGTGACCGTGGCAGCTGGACGCCCTCCGTGTCCTCTGCCAATGCCACGCTCAGCCTGCAGAGCTGGACAGCGGAAGGGCCAGGCACCCGCGCCCCAACCCCCAGCCCCAGCAACCTGGCCGTGGGCCGCCGGCGCACTCTGCAGGGGACGCAGGGTGCACACACCCTCCTCGCCCTCTGGGTCCAGCCCCCAGGGCAGCAGGGAGTGACCGGGAGCTCGACCGCACCGCACAGCTCGCGGCCCCCCGCTCGGGAGGGGCTCCCCCGGCCCCCGGACTCCAGGTGGGCGCAGCCCGGCCTGTCACACAGCCCCTGCGCGGCCTCCCCCAGATGTCGGGGTGCGGCCTGCCTAGGCCCGGCCGCCGTGTCCAGGGCATCAGCGGTGCCCTCGGCCAAACGGCCCTGCAGCATGAGCCCTGGAAACGGAGCTGGACGAGGTCAGCCGCAGGGCTCCCGCACGGCCTCCAGCCCGAGCCCTGCCGGCGGGCTGAGCCCGGGCACAGAGGACGCCAAGTGGACGCTGCCGCCCGCCCGGCCCAGCTGCCTGCTGCTGGCGGCCCTCATCAGCTCCCGGCACAGAGCAGCCTCGCGGGTGGGGGGCCTCCCCAGGGGCTCCCCGCTCTGCCGCAGAGGGAGGCCAAGGGCCCCCGGGACGGGGCGGGGGCGGGGCTGGGCCTGAGGCCCGCAGGACTCTGCTCCAGAGGCAGGTGAGTCACCGGACTGGGGGCCCCGCCCTGGGTGCGGCAGCCTGACCTGGGCCCACCCAGGGATTCTCGGGGAGCGGCACACCCCCCCAGCTGGAGCCCCAGGGAAGAGCGCAGAAGCCACACCTGAGAGTGGCCCTGCCCAGGCCTGCCAGCCGGCCCCGTGGGGGTGCCCAGCGGGGGGCGGCCTGCCAGACACCCCAGCAGGGGTGCCAGCCTAGTGGAGGTACAGCTGGGGGGGCTGCCAGCCATTTTGAGGGGGTGCCAGCCAGCCAGCCAGCCCGGGAGGTGCCAGTGGCCAGGAGGGGAGGCCTGCCAGCCAGCCCGGGGGTGCCAGCAGGGGGGTGTCTGCCTGCCAGCCAGCCCGGGAGTGATGGCAGGGGGGTGCTTGCCTGCCAGCCCGTTGGGGGTGCCGGCAGGGGTATATCTGCCAGCCAGCCCGCCCACTGGGGTGCTGGCGGGGGGTGTCTGCCAGCCAGCCACCCCGTTGAGGCTGCTGGCGGGGTGCCCGCGGGGGGCGCAGCACTCCTGGCTGCGGCACACCCCGCCCCCCCCCACACTCTCCCCTCTGTCCTCCTGGCGCCGACAGGAAGAGCCCGATTGTGGGAACAAAGACCCCACTGCAGGGAGGGCTGGAGGCTGCCCAGGGGGGCCCGGGCCAGGGGGGGCCCGGCCTCGCTTCCGGGCACCATGCGGAGCTGGACCCCTCAGTCAGGGACCCGCGGCGGCCGCCCGGGACGCCACTCCGGGGGTGCCTGCAAGGGGGGGGTCACAGGCTGCGGGGTGGGCGGGGCGGCGGTGGCCCTGCTGCGGAGGAGCCAGGAGAGCGACTCCCGCGGGGTCCTGCCCCTCTCGGTGCCACCCGTGCTCACCCCCCAAATCTGTGTGGGCCCTCGGCGAGGGCCAGAGGCAAACCAGCCGGAGTCTTCTGATGGCAGCAAATGGGGTGACAGTGAAATAACATTTTTTACCAGAAACTGAACATGAAGGAGCTTTCCCCTGAGTCTTGTCATGGGAACGCACGGGAAGACGCCCCCCAGTCGACACCGCACAAGGCCTCTCAGACACCCCACAAGGCCCCCCATAGACATCCCACAAGGCCCCCCATAGA